CGGGATGCGGAAGGAGAATCCTCTGCCATCCCAGGCCAAGCTGGGTACCTTGGGACTCTCTCCCCCACCTCCCTGTACTGGGGGAAACCAGTTCATTCCTTCTAGACTTGGATGGAAGGGGGTCACCCGAGCTGCTTTACGGGTCCCTCTGAGGCTGCAGAAAGGGGAACGGTGTTGTTGGCAGCCCACCAGACTCTGATCCTACAGGGACAAACCAAGGACAATCTCTGAATATTTTTGACGCCTCTTTGATTTGCCCCCGAACCTCCTTGTGGTGGGGATAGAGGTAGGCAGAGGAGTGACTGTAGAGATAAGTGGTTTTCATAAAAAACTGAAGGCTGGGAAGGTGTTGTTTTGTTTTCAAGGAAGAATTAGAGCCTCTGAAAGCAAGACCAGTGCGTTTCTAGCTGTCTTCCCCAAATGTACTGACCGATGGACCGAATCTCACCCCCCCTAAGGTGGAGGGGTCCTTCCTGGGGCTCTGGGGCGTCCAAAGTTTTGTCGGAAATGGGGGCTATTTCTGACACTGGGGGACAGAATAAAGTAGGTGGAATATGCATTAGGGTTGAGACACTGGCCCGCCAAATCCAGCCATTTATGGGGAGGCTGTAAGGATGGGGGCTCTCTCTCTGGAACACAGGTCCCCGAGGCCACCTTCCTCTTCTCCAGGTGCCGCTCCTCCCGGCCACACAGGGAACCCCACGCAATCCTCCCCTCTTCTTCGCTGGGAGCCAGAGCTGACAAAAATAGGAACGACAGACTATTCACGTGGAGGGCCGGGCAGGCTGAGTCCTATCTAACTGGGTCGTTTTGCGAGATGGGGGTTACGTGGAAGCGAAGGGAAAGTTTTGGCAAAAAAGTGAGCTGGAGAGGATGGACTGAACCGAAATTCCGCTCCGTCATTTTTTTTTTTCTCCCGCCCCAGCAATGACCGGCACAACATTCAGGATGAGCTAGCGGACTGCTCGGCTGTATTATAGCAACTGCTTGTTGGTGGGGGAGGCCCGGAGAGGGGTGAACCGCGGGTCACGGCGTCTAAAAATTATTAAAATGCTCGAGAGCCCCGTGACGCGCCTCGCTGTTTAACAAAGACTGCCAAAGTATGAGATTAATCCCAAAACTCGCGCTTCAAAAACACACCAAAAAAAAAAAAAAAAAGTCTTGTTCCGGCCTCCGAGGGGGCCTGGAGCTCTTCTGCCGGCGGCCGCGGGCCGGGTTTCTGGACACGCGGGATGGACACGAGCGAGCTCGATCCCCACCCGGATCCGGGCGGGTCGGTGGCCGGGAGGCTGGGGAGCCGCCCCGTGAGCACCCTGCCCGCTCCGCCCGGGGCCTCCCACTCCGCGGCGGACCGGCTGGGGCTTGCCTCCCGGGCCTTCGGCTTCCTTCCCTCACTCGGCCTGTCCCTCCCGCCCTGCCCACAAAAGGTACATGATTTCTCGCTGGCTGGGCGCGATCGGGCGGCGGAGGGGCGCTGAGCGGCCACTCCAGCAACCTGTGGCTGCGGGGAGAGGGAGCGGGAGCGGGGAGAAGGCGGCCCGCCGGCCGGGAGCTCAGGGAGGTGGCTCCAGCGCGCGCGGAGCTCCGTCCCTTTCTTATTTTTATTATGATGCGTATTGCTGTTCCGGTTCTTCCGGGAATGGAGGACGGAGGCAGACTCCTGTCCTGGTGAAACCCATCCTGGGGATCGCTGATGAACCTTATCCTCTACCCATCTGGGCTGGGCTGGGTGGAGGGTAGGACCCTTTGGTGGGATGGGTGGCATGGGCAAGTGGGCGGCTCCCAGCGCGCAGAGGAGAACATTTCCGTGCTGTATACCTAGGATCAGCCACACACAGCCCCTCGGTGGCTCTGCCTCCCCTCCCTCTGTCCAGGGGGTTTGGGGGCACCTGGGCCACATCCCTTGAGAAGTGTAGAGCAGCAGAGATGCCGGGACCAGCTCAGCAGCCCTCCCATAATTTTGAAAAGCCATGGCTGGAGGGATTCGGAGAGCTAGGGAGTGAGGAGGAGGAGGTATGGGGCGGGGAAAGGCCCAAAGAGTTGGAATGGGTGTGCAGCTCCCAAGTGGCCTTTGACAAGACTTGCTTGATGCCAAGCCCTGGTGGAGGTCCTACTTAGACGTCAGTCCCCCTGGGTGCCCAGATGGGGGTCTGAGATTAAGATAACTACAATAGAACTCTGTGTGTGTGTGTGTGTGTGTGTGTGTGTGTGTGTGTGTGTAATTTTTCAAATACATGTGAGTCCAGTCTGGCTGGGAGGGTGGTGGTGGCGATCAGGCCTGGAGGCCAACATGAGCAATCTGGATTTGGGACAGAGAAGAGGGCCTCTGGACCTAGTTGTAGGCAAATGGGAGCTCTCTTATCAGCCACCTGCGAGGGTCCCAGGCTGGGATGGGCAGGGACTTCTGGAGAGTGGGGAGTGAGAGGGTCTTTTTGTGTGTCACTGCAGTATTTGTTAATGAAATTGATATTATTCTGACTTATTCACTAGGGATACAAAATTTTTCAGACCCAGGGAGATGGGTGGGGAGCCTGGGCGGGGTGGCTGGGTGCTCTCTCTGCCTTACAATGGGGAGGCTGTCAGCTGGCGCAGCCTAGGACTCATTGCCCTTCGGCTCGGCCCCCTGCCTTCCAGTTTAGTAAATTTCCTGGTTGCTGGAAGCCTTAGGAAATTCGTTTGGAAACCCCAGATCCCTCAGGTTTCCCAGTTCCCCTTTTGGGTCCCACTGTCAGCAACCCTAGCAGGTGGCAGAGTGAGCAAGTTGAGAGGGAGAGGGAGGAGAGAGAGAGAGAGAGAGAGAGAGAGAGAGAGAGAGAGAGAGAGAGAGAGAGGGAGAGAATACGCCTGCCTGGGGCTAGGGAGGTGGGGAAACAGGGTTCCTCCTCACACTTCAGGGATTCTCCTCCACTTCTGGCCCCCGGGAGGTTTGGGAAGTGGGGAGGGGAGGGACCGGAATATCATCTGGCTGCGTTTTTATGGTTCTCCATCGCCCTTCATTCGGAAATGAGACGCCTTTGATCTTTTTCTCAGGTTGTAAACGGAATTGCCCGTCATTAAAAACCCAGGGCCCCATCTGCTTGGTCTCCCAGCATTTTTCCTTTACAGCTGTTTCCCCCTCATTTTACCATTGAAATTTTCCAAAAGGACTTTATGACACCCCCTTCACACCCAGCCGCCTCCCCTCCCCTCCCTTTGCTAAGAGGCGCCTTGAAAAATATATAGATATTCGTTTGATCGCGAACGAAAGGCTGCAAGGGTCACTGGAGGAGCCCATTGGGGTTTTGTTTTTCTTTTTAAAAAGTCCTGGGGGGATGGGAGGGGCGGGAGGGCACCCAGAAGGGCCCGATTCTGACTCGCCGCAGCCTCGGGATGACCCTGCCTCCTTTTGTGTTTGGCTAATGTTTACATCTCATAATTCATGCCCCACCGCGGAGAGTTGCGCAGCGGCGGCTGCGAGGTTTGCGTCTCTTTCGCCAGACTCGCCGCTCCTAGTTGTCCCTAAAGGAAGAGGAAGAACATGGAAAAACCTTGTAATTCCAAGGATGGACCCGCAGTCTCTTTTTCCTGTTCCCAGAACTCAAAAATCAGAACAGAACGAAATAAACCCAAAGCATTCCAACCACACCCCAAACAGAAGAACCCTCGGAAAAGTAGGAGAACTGGAAAAGATCTCTGTCTTCTGTATATACCCTGTAGATCCGAATTTGTGTAAGGAATTTTGTGGTCACAAATTCGTATCTAGGGGAATATGTAGTTGACATAAACACTCCGCTCGTTTTTTCCCCCCCTGAAGAATTTTTATTTTTAATTTTTCCTAAAGGAGGAACCATGCAGTGACTGGCCACGCGAAGACTCCTTCCTTCTGTCTTCTTCCTTCTTTTCCTCCGGAAACTGGTTAGAGAGACCATTTACCTGAAATTGCCCCATGTCTGTCCCCGGGAGCCTTGGTCCCCTGTCCCTTCTCTGGATAGCTTACTGTTGGCGGCGTCTTTTAAATTTTATCCTCGCCCTCCAGCCCGCCTGTTCTCTCTTCTGGGCTCAGAGGGGTTTGACTGAAAATCTGGGGGAAGTGACTGTTGCCATCTGTGTGCAAAGGCGAAGGAAATTCGCTTTTCAAACGGATGTGGATGTCGCCTTTCCGTTTGCCTTGAGAGCGAAATGCCCTGGAAATACCTGATCACCAAGGGGTGTCATTGTGTGTGTGTGTGTGTGTGTGTGTGTGACCTCCAGGGCACCCATCCCCAGCATCCCAGGGATGAGAGATTTGTGTTCACCGAGGAGGAGGCTGTGGCATTAGTGGCAATTACCACGTCTCCACCCCGCGGTTAGTGTTGCTCCGATGGTTCTGGAATTAGCAAATTGCCATTCAGCGCGGAAAGTTGCAGGTTTTTTTAGCCGCTGCTCCTGTTCAGTGTGGGAAACCGAGTCGTGTCTCCCGTCGTCGGGTAAGGAGAGGAGTGGCTAGGAGAAGGGGACAGACAGACGGACTGACAAAGCCGAACTAATAGCGCAGCTAAATGCGATTTGGAAGGCGAGGTCTCCCCGAATTAGTGCATGAATTTTCTATCGATCCGCCCGCGGTTCCATTCATCTCTGACAAGCCCCTCGGTGCACCCGCCCGCCTGCTCCTCTCGCTCCCTCCCCCTCCCCATGCGGCCGCCGGAGGACCGCTCCACGCTCGGTGCCTCTCGCCCCCGAGTGGGGTCCCCTCTGTCTCCGGGCAGAGCCCCTGGCCTCCTCTCTCTGCTCCCCACGCGGACGCGGGGTCCTGACGGGCCTCCTCGCCTCGGGAGGCTGGGAAGGGGCCCACGGAGGCAGAGGATGCGGGCCCAGGCGAGGCGGGACACGAGGGGCGACACGGAGAGCCCCAACTTGCGGGGGTACCTGGGGATTGCGCCTGCCCAGGGCCCCCCGAGACCCCCCGCGGGCACCCGCGCTCTTCCTCCCCCCCGCCCCCCCCATCGCGGAGGCGGCCGGGGGCGCGGGCGGGCGGCCCGCGGGAGCCCCGTGCAGACCGCGGCGCGGGCCGGTGTCGGGGGGCGGGCGGGGAGGGGGTGCAGGCGAAGGGGAAAGCAGCCTCTGCGGCTGGAGTGGGGTCCGGGCGAGCAGATTTCCTTATCCGGGAATCGCAGGCGGGGCGGCCATTGGCTCCCGGGATCACGTGGGGCCCTAACTTTGTTCACTTGACAGTAAGTAGGAGGGCTCTCGGAAACAGGAAAACGAGTCAGGGGTCGGAATAAATTTTAGTACATTTTGTGGGCCATTCCCAGAAATTAATGGCTATGAGTTCCTTTCTGATCAACTCAAACTATGTGGACCCCAAGTTCCCTCCGTGCGAGGAGTACTCGCAGGGCGACTACCTGCCCAGCGACCCCTCGCCGGGCTACTACGGCGCCGGCGGCGGCCCGAGGCGGGAGGGCGGCTTCCCGGAGGCGGGCTTCGCGCGGCGCGCGCCGTGCCCGGGGCAGCGCTACGCGGCCTGCCGGGCCCCGGGGCCGCCGCCGCCGCCGCCCCCCGGGCTGTCCCCCCGGGCGCCCGCGCCGCCGCCCTCCGGGGCCCTCCTCCCGGAGCCCGGGCCGCGCTGCGAGGCGGCCAGCAGCAGCCCCCCGCCGCCGCCCTGCGCGCAGGACCCCCTGCACCCCAGCCCGTCCCGCTCCGCGTGCACGGAGCCCGTCGTCTACCCCTGGATGCGCAAGGTCCACGTGAGCACGGGTGAGTGCGTGGGCGCCCCCCCCCCCCGGCGCTGGTGCCACCGAAGGGACCTCGGAGGCGTGGGGGGGCGGGGGCGGGAGGGGGAGAGCCGGGGGAAGCCAATTGTCCCCGCCATAAACTCGCCACGGCCCGAGATTTACGGGCGCCTGTTTTCAGAGCCACATCATTACATCCCCCATAAATTTTTATGGCCTGGTGGGCCCCGCGCCTTTGAAGTCGGCTCCCCATTCTCTTTTTTGGCCATTCTCACCGGCGACTTTCTCGCCAGGGACCTGTGTGTGTAGTTGGAAGTTGGGGAGGGGGGCGGGAGGCTGGAGAGGAGGAGGAGGAGGAAGAGGAGGAGGAGGAGGAGGAGGAGGAGATCTGTATTTAAGCAGAGCAGTTGAGTCAACTCCCACTATTTATTTTCTCCCCCCTTTTCTTCCCTCGAGCCTGGCTCCTTGGCTTGAGAAGTGGGCAAAAAGTTTTTTCCTGGGGGCAGGCCCTGCCTGGAATCTGAGCGGAGAGGGTGGGAACTGACAGGAGCCAGGTTTAGGGAAGCCCCCCTCCCCTCTCACCCCGCGTTCTCCCTCCCCGGGCCTCAGGCCAAGGCGGGAGAGGAAGGATGAAAACCTTGTGAAGAGTTCCTCACGCTGAACGCCCCCCCCCCCAACAACGTGGAGATAACCCTGCAAAACTCTGAGGTCCCGTTCTCTCCCAGCAGCCCGCTTGCTTCCCTGTCTCCCCCCACCGGAGGGAAGAGGTGGCGGGAGAGAGGGCGGGAGGGAGGCCGGGAGGGAGGGAGACGCCGTGTTTGCTGCAGGAAAGTGCTCCCCCCCTCCTCCTCCCGTTTGGGGCAATAAAACTTTCTCTTTCTCCCTCTCTCCGTGTGTGTCCAGTCAACCCCAATTACGCCGGCGGGGAGCCCAAGCGCTCCCGCACCGCCTACACCCGCCAGCAGGTCCTGGAGCTGGAGAAGGAGTTCCACTACAACCGCTACCTGACCCGGCGCCGGCGCGTGGAGATCGCCCACGCGCTCTGCCTGTCCGAGCGCCAGATCAAGATCTGGTTCCAGAACCGCCGCATGAAGTGGAAGAAGGACCACAAGCTGCCCAACACCAAGATCCGCTCGGGGGGCGCGGCGGGCGCGGCGGGAGGGCCCCCGGGCCGGCCGGGCGGAGGGCCCCCCGCGCTCTAGCGGCGCCCGGGCTGCGGGCTGCGGGCACGGACCCGGGGCGTGGAGCCGGGGAGCGCGGGGGAGACAGGAGGCGGGAGGAGGCCCCGGGGCCTGGGCCTGGCGGAGCCGTCCTGCCTCCCCCTGCCCCCTCCGTCCATTGACACGAATAAACGCAGAGAAGGGGTCGGGGAAGCTTTATTTATAGAAACCACCGCGGAGAGCCAGCCGAGGCCCCCCTCTCCGCCCCAGAAGCAAAGCTCAAGTCTCTGGCTCTCTTTCTTTAAAAATAAACAAATAAATAACAAGAGAAGGAGAAGAAGGAAGGAAGAAAGGACAGAAAGAGGAATAGGAGGAGGCTGCCCGCCTGGCTCTGGGCGGCGGCGAAGATGGATCCGCGCTTCATCTGTAATCGCGCCGGCCCCGGGCCATCCGTCTTGTTTACGCCGCCGCCGCCGCCCAGAGGCCGGGCCTGGGCGGCCACCATTACCTCGACACCCGCTAACAAATGAGGCCGCCGCCGCCTCGGAGCCTCTCTCTTTGTCCCCCATTCCCGGTGACCTTCTGATGGCCAGAGCGCGGTGTGTCGGCCTCGGTAACACACACACATCACACCTCCGCCCCGTCCATCCAGGCCCCTCGGCGGAGACACGGACTGCAGCACCCCCTTCCTCTGCGGGGCTGGGAAGGGGGTGGCAGCAGGAAGGGGCCACTGGAGGCCAAGGAGGGGAAAAAAAAAAGAAGAAAAAAAAGGAAAGAAAAGAAAGAGACCAGCAGACCCCGGAGGGACTTCCTTGGTTCTGGGCAGGGTGAGGGCCGGTGGGGCTGTGAGCACACCCCTCTCCAGAGCTGTCCAGGGGGGACCTGCTCACCCAGACTGAAACTGAATGTGAAACTAGGAAATGCAGATCCGGGGGAGGATGTTCCAGAGACCTCTCCCCTCGCTGATCATGGTTGCATCGATGACGACGATTATTAATAATTAATTAATTATTATTATTATTTTATGTTATGTGTGTCCTCCCTCCCCTTCTCTTCCTGACATTCCAAACTAGGCCCCCCTTCCTAGGTCGGGGGGGGGGCTGCCCGAGTCTAGAACCCTTCCTTGGAGTGGAAAAACCAATGTGTGTCCTGTACAGAGTGACAATAGAAATAAATGTTTGGTTTCTTGTGTGACCAGCACGGCGTGTGTTTGTTGAAGCCTTGATCTAAAGATACGGACAAATGCCCCCTAGCCTCTGCCTGAGGCACCTCAGCCCATTTGGATTCCCATTGGAGGTGGCTGAGGATTTTTTTTTTTTTAACCAAAGGGTCCGATGGGAATTTCTATCTTCAAGGACTCCAAACTGTGGTAGCTGGTTTGTTTTCTTTTTTGGGGGGTGGCTGTGTTCTTTAAATGTTCCCCCTCCGGTCCAAAAAAAAAATGGATGGAAAGGACTAGGAGGGCTGACTCCAATCCTAATGGGGAGGGAGAATGTTTCATTGTAGGACACAAGAGGCTTAAGTACGGCAAAGCCTCTCATATCATGATTTATTTGTCATAAGCAAATAAAATGCGGTTAAGCTGTCTCCTTCTAGACAGACGGCTCTTTGCTTATTAAAGTTCCGAGGGAGGATTCCGTGAGGCCGGCCCCTTTCCTCTGCATGAGAAGGTATCGTTTTCTCCTCGGAGGTGTTTAAGGCTTTAATGAGTCTAATTTTTTGCACAGATGTTTCTGGGTGTTTGCAGGTTTTCAGAGTATTTTTATATTACAAAGGAGCTAGCCGGTGCCATAGCTCAAACTCTGACAAGCAAATAGATAATCAAGAAGACAAATGGCCTCTTTTGTGAAGCCCTGCTCCTGTATTAATTTTCATTTTCTTTCTCATAGAGAGTATCGAAAGTACGACTGGGGACCAAATCGCTTTCTGTCTCGGAGGTCCCAGTCACCCCTAGAGTGGAGTGGGGGAAGGGAAGGCAGGTGACCCTCAGAAGTTCTGTTGAGCGTGGGCCGCTTTTGTGCAGAACCCAAGAGACGTATGAAGGTCTGGGCTCCGGCCTGAGGTGCCTGGTCCTGGGGTGGCCCAGGGCACAGACACTGCCTCCGGAGAGCACATGCAATTCAAAGTGGCTGGTTTCTCTGGTCCCATCTCCCTTCAGAAAATAAAAATAGCCAATCCCACCCACACATTTTATTGTTATTTGTGTATTGTACCCCCCTGCTTTGCAGCACCCGGGAGTTTGAGGCTGGGTAGGGCCATGGGACAGAAAAAGGGTTGAACTGCCGGTTTCAATGTTGCGGGAGATTCATAAAAAAAATCCCCCCAGACCTGGAGGCTGAGAGCGGCCAGCTTTGTTCGGTCAATTTGGGTGTGATGTTTAGCTGCCAGGAGATGCGACTGCCCTCAGCAGAGGGAGAAAACAGAAGTTAAAAAGCATATTGCGTGCCCCCCCCCCAGGAATGCCTCTATAGAACCAAATCAAAGCTACTCCTTGGAAGGTATGAATAGAATCAAAAAAAGATTTCTATGGCGCTTAAAGTTCACAGCCATTCTGTGTAGACAAGAGCTAAGAAAAATGTGAGAATTATACAGAAAACCATTAATCACTTCTTTTCTTTAAATACGTATCCTCTCTCCTTTGTTATTATTCAACAGCAAATCTCCGCAGACCGGCTGTTTGGGGGGAAAAGTGTTAGCCGCCTCTCCCAGACCTGCGAGGGGGAAGCATTTTGGAACCGTAAAGTTGAAAACTTTTTTCTCTCAGTTTGGAAGAAGCCCTTCGCCATGCGTGGGATGCGAGGAGGAGTTCCGGGCGAGAGGAGGCGAGAGGCAGAAAGGTAACAAAGCCCCCGCCTGGGCTGGCATTTTTTTTCTCTCTCAAATCGTTTTATGAGCTGCTTTTTTCTTTTTCAACAAGGGGTTTTTATGGTGACTCTGGTCAGGTTTGGGGCCTTTTATGATGACTGATGCCTGGGTCAGATGGGCGAGAGAGGCCTGACACCTGGAGAATGTTTGGACTGCTGGGGGCTGATGTCAGGGTCTCTGAAGAACCCCAGAAAAGGCTGTGTGGGAGGCAGCTCAGCGTGCTATACCAATTTGGGGGACCTGCAGGTGGACCTGTGGCACCCAAGCATGTGTGCATGTGTATGTGTGTGTAGCGACGCGCACATGTGGCCGGTTGTTCTGCGACTCTGTCTGCGCCGAGGCTTGTGTCCCGTGTATCTGTTCACAGTGAGATGTCACGCCGCCCCCTGGCAAAAGGGGATGCATTTCTCGGATGGAATGCCCCTGCCTCAGAGCAGGGTGTAGGTGGGGGTCTTCCTTTTGTCCCCTTTTTGCGGCAAGCTTGGGATTCTGGACAAATATCCCCAGTTCTCTGGGGCAGGAAGCTGCTCCGTTCACTGGCAAGCTTCTTGCCGCTGGAATCTTCCTCTTTAGTGCTGTCGCCTCCCTTTTTCCTGGAGGCTCTGTGTTGGGTTTGGTTTCCTTTTGCTCTCTCTCTCTTAGTTTGGGGGCTGTGTCCCTCCCTGCCCCCCTCCTGCCCCAGCCCGGGGCCCAGCTTCTGAGGGTGAGGGAGCCAGCGGGCCAGGCGGCCTCAGACCTGAATGTGCCGGCCCTTTTTCCCTGGGGCTCACTGCGTGTTTGGAGGCAGGAGGTTGGCAGGAGAGAGAGTTCATGGAAAGGCCACGTTTTCTAGGCGATTAGCTCAGTATTAGAACCACAAAATGACCTCGGAAGCCCCTTGACCTCTCTGAGACTGGACATTGTGCTGGCTCCCCGTCCTGCCCGGGAGGGAGAGTCACACCTCCGCTGGGAGCTGTGTGCCCATGTCCACCCCCCTCTAGCCTAGTTTGGAATTTCTGGATTGTGTTTCTATTACTGGGGATTGGGGAGAAAAGGAATAAAATTGTTAGCTTGGGTACAGCCGGGGAGGGAGGAAGGTGCTGGTCTATCTCACTGTGCAGGCTCCTTCCTTCAGCCGTCCCCATGCCCGTTCACCCCTCCTGTCCTGTCTTGCTTGGAGGGAGCTGCGGGGCACAGACAAAGGGAAGAGGCAGGAGAGGCCCAGCAGATTCAGGGGGCCAAGGGGACAGCCTGTGGGTCCCCAGGAGAGAGAGGGCTCCCCACTTGAACAGTTCCTTGGAAATTACTGTGTCTCAAAGTCTGATATCCCAGTCCACAACCCCTCTCCCCATTCCCCCCTGAAGTCCCTTTGTCTGGGAAGCAATTCCTAGAATCACTCTCACCTCCTTCCCCTGATCCCCCATTTCACTTCAGCTGCTCCCAGAGCCCATGGGATTCCTCTCCAGCAAAGGAGAGCTGGGAGCAGGGCCCGTGCAGGCCCTCCTGTCCATCTCCAGGGAGAGTCTGCCATGTTAGCCCAAGTTTCCAGCAACTTTTCATGTTCAGAGATGGGTGGGGGTGGGGGGGTTCCTAAGAGCCTTTCCAACCTGCATTCTGCTTGCTGCATCTCAAAAACCCGCTGTGGCAGCCATCCCCTCAGGAGGAGCTGGGGGGGGGAGGGGGGGGACATGACACTCCAGCTGGAAGAGGAGATGCTCCTTTGGGGCTAAGACCAGGAGAGACCGAACTTTGCTGGGATGTGTTTGGCCTCGATCTGCGTGTTGTAAATTGTCTGTTGGAACGTAGGGGCTTGGTCTTAGGCAAGAAATAACTGGAGTCTATTGGTGTCCTCTTTGTACCTGGATGGCATCATACATGCAGGGGGGCGGGGAGGCCTGGGGAAGGAAAGGGGGTGAGCAGAGAGGGGAGCTGGGCTGCTCTTGGGCTGATAAAAGCTGGGGCTCAGGGAGAGGCACCCATTGCTTATAAAGGCAGATAACCAATGGTGGGGGCTCTGTAGGCCTAGAGAGTCTACCAGCCTCTGTCTGGCATGTGAGGAAGGAGGAGGAAAACAATGGGAATGGAGGGTTAGGGTTCACTCAGGACTTCATCCTACAGGTGGGGACGTGGAGGTCTCCCTTTCCCTCATTGCCAGACCCCAACCTGAGCATAGCTCCCTGCTTCGGGCTCCTGGCCCTTTGGGCTCACCTCCTACAAGTCTGGTGGCTGCCTCCAGTCCTCCTCATCTCTGACCTCTCTCCCCTCCAGGTCCCGGTCCTCCCCATCTTCCTCTTCCTTCCCCCCGCAGCCCCAGGCCCCGTGGTGGGTCTCCCTGGGAAGCAGCCAGGGAATGGGGTCTGGTTAGAAAACCAAGTGGGGAAGTTTCCCAGCGTGAGCTGAGCGCTGACGGATTTGTGATCGGCCATAAAACCGGCGCGTTCAGATTCGTAAATCAATCTCGCCTTTCCCCCAGTATAAACGTTCGCTTTATCGGCCGCGAGAAAGCGCTGGGCGCTCGGCTGGCTCTGGGCGCTTGTTTATTTGAACACGGACATTCCCAGGGTCCGAGGAGTGTGGGCATTTTAACAGGACCTGCCCGCATGCCTTCTTGTCAGTTTGCTGTTCTTTCCCTTGTCCTTAAAAAAAAAAAAAAAGAAAAAAGAAAAATTTCTCCGTTTCAGAGATCGCCGCCTTCCCATGCTCCAGCATGTTGTACCTTCTCTCTCGCTTGCTCCTATTTTTCTTTTTTAGACTTTAGGGGAGCGCTTTCTTGGGGGGACCTTTTTAGTGGATTTGTGGTCAGGACCTTGCAGAGAGTCGCAGGGGCTGAATTCAATACGGGTCTGTGTTTTGTATTCAGACAATCAAAGCCGACCACCCCCCTACAGAGTCGGAGCCGGGCCTGGGCCTGCCAGTGCCCCACCAGTGCATCTAGCAAGACTCTGAGGAGGGCCTTCTGCGGGGGCCTCCCGGCACCCACTCAGGGGTGGATGATTCTTTGGGGGTTCCTAAACCGGCTAGGTTCTCAGCTTTCTCACCATTGAGTTGCTTTTGGTTCAGAGCCCTGCAAACAAATCAAAAGGGGAAGCCCCGAGCCCCCTACCCTACAGCGCATCTGTTCTTCCCCCTGCCCGCCTGCCCTCCCGGCCGGGCCTGGCCTGGCTGCCCCCAGAGCTGCGAGATAAGGCCCGGGCCGGAATGTGCTGCCGGGGCTCCGTCAGGAATGTCTTTCCCTCCGCGCCCTCCCCAGCCCATAGCCAGACTCTGGTTCTGGCTGTAACTGGTCTGCTCATTCTGGGGCTGAGGATGTTTTGTGGGGGAAGGTTTGGGGTGTTTTGTTTTATTTATCTCTGAGGTGCAGGTTTCTCTCTCTCTGCCTAGGGAATGGCTCCCTCCTGTCATCCTGGGTGTTCAGCCCTTTCATAGGCAGCGGCCCCCATCTTTTTCCTATTGACCGGTCCCCATTGTCTGCCGATGGGAAGCTTAGGGGACTAACACCTGGGAAATAGGGACCCGGGGCTGCCAGGCCGACTTTGACTTCAAAGCCTCTTTCTTCCTCTCCCCTGCCCGCCCCCTCCCCGTCCCCCTTCAGTTAGAATCTCCAGCTGTCTCCAGTGGAGCTGGGGGTAAGGGCACTGAGACAGGGTGTGACAGAGGTAGAGACAGGCTGAGAGTCCACTCCTTTTGTTAGGAACTTCAGGCCGGTCTTTGTCTCTGGACGGGGTCTCAGATCAGTCAGGAGGACTCGGTTCCCCACAACAGTAACACCAGGAATGAAAAAAGTCCTGGCTGCGGGTCATTCTCAACTTTGGAAGTCCCAGAGCCTCCTGTCCATCCAGCCCCTTTCCTGCCTCTTCCCAAGGTACCCCAAGAGATCAAAAGGAGAACGAAAGCCACAAGCCCCATTCTTTATACATCTATAACGTGGCCTTAGGAAGTGTATCTTTTGGAAATGGTCCCTTTAGAAATGTTGTTGATTATTTAGGAAGAGGGTGGCGGTGGGTCCCACTAAAATCAGTACCCTAAGAGTGAGGGGAAGGGAACCTTAAAGGGCGCAGGGAGAAGGACTGGAGGCTGAGAAATCCAGGGGCTTGGAGAAGGGCTCTCGCCCACCCCACCCCCACCCCAGACGCCCCTGCAGACTCTCCCTGCACCTCCTCGAACTAAGCAGAAGCAGGAGGAGAGGTGGGAGAGGAGAGGTGGGCTGTAGGTAAGTGTGTCGGGTGGAGGTGGTCAGGGAGCTGTGGGTCTCGCAGGCACAGATGTGCATCTGGAAGAGAGAAGGAGAGCTCCATACTATTCCATTGGTGGGTTGGGGGGGGCAGATTTTGCAGGAAATTTTCTCCTCCTGAAGGGGAAGGTCATAGTGGTCCTTTGAGCCTGAAATCGAAAGACCCCCTTCCCCCCTGGTCACGTGATTCATTAAATAATTAATGCCGAGGTTGCAGAATAGATATGTATTCGTCAGGAAAATCGCAGGCTCGGTCTCTCTGTTTCTGACGTGCAATTCAACTGTCCTTTGAAAAACAAGCCTGTACCCTGAGAAAAAAAAAGGGGGGGGGGAGAGAGAAAGAGAAAGAGAGAGAGAGAGAAAGAGAGGGAGGCAGCAATAAAACAGCCCCGCAGCCGGAGCCACACCACGGGCTGGGGTATTGTAAGTAGAAGGGATTTCTCACTACCTACCGTGTCTTATATGTCCATGTAAATTTATTGTTTGTTATTAATGTTATTGTCGTAAACTGTGACAAATAGCCATCTTCATTTCCTGCCATTTCTCTTCACACGATGCTCTCTGTGTTTATACCCATTGAGGCATTGCATAGAGATTTTAGGAATATTTCTCTCCTCTCTCTCTCTCTCTCTCCTTCTCCTCCAACCCTTTTCTTGATTTATAGCAATATGGGTGTCAGCTTCTCGGGCCGGCATGCCAGCCATTGTGTGTGTGTGTGTGTGTGTGTGTGTGCGCTCGCATCTGCGTGTGTTTGTGAGCGAG